GCCGCCGCGCTTCCCAAGCAGCGCACTATAGCAGTGCGCCACCGGGCCGGCCCGACAAACATTTTTTTTTTTTTTTTTTTTTTTTTTTAAAGATGACCGGTAAGGGGATCTCAACCCTTGGCTTGGTGTTGTCAGCACCACGCTCAGTCAGTGAGCAAACCGGCCATCCCTATATAGGATCCGAACCCACGGCCTTGGTGTTATCAGCACCGCACTCTACCGAGTGAGCCACGGGCCGGCCCCCCGACAAACATTTTTGAAACAAAACTCTGAGAGATCAGAAAAGACCAGCTCTATCATTGAAGAGGAAAAGGCCACTTATTTGGTGAAATTATCTTATATCTGCCATGAATTTTTATGTTAAATAAGACCTAGAAATATATTTTAAGATTTGATTCTGTACAGCAAAAGGCTTAATAAAAGAGAAATAAATAAAAAGCACAACAAGTAACATTATAACAATTCACAGAATATAAATTCTACCCATGCTTTTACCATCCTATAAAATAAATGTTGAAGGCTGGCCAATTGGCTCAGTTGGTTAGAGCACAGTCTCTATAACACCAAGGTCAAGGGTTCAGATCCCCGTACCCGCCAGCTGCTGAAAAAAAAGAAATATTTATATTTCTCCAAGTTTCCTACCAGTTCTGGTTTCCATTTGCATAGATTATTTATATATAGTTACAGGTCAGATGCTAGATATGATTCTGTTTTCTGGTTTTCTTGCATTTGACGCATCTGAAGTTTTTATCATGTTGCTGTAGTCTTTAATATTTAATACACTTTTAATACATTAACTTGATTATTTAGCTCATTCTTTCCCCCACTGTTGGACTATTTTCCTGTGGCTTTACTCCCAGTCCCCTATTGTCTTTTCTGGTACTTAAATATTAAGGTTCTGCCTTATGTTTGAAGTGGTCAAGAAGTTTACAAACAGAACATATGATCCTTACATTCAGTCTAAAGGGAGAGTCTGAAAGAAATGGTATATACCTAGTAGGATCCTGAAATCTTTGCAAAAAGAAAGAGAATAATGTAGGATATATTTCTGTCCACTTTTCTTAGAACCTAAAGTCTCCTATTGCCTCAAAGTGAATTGGCTTGTGGATACACCCTGCTGCTGTGTCATAGCCCCTAAGAAGCGCTACCCTGGCAGGGGCCATGCTTCATTCTCCTCTGCATAGTGCCCGCACAGCCAGTGTTTGTTGGATGAATCATCTTTTTAGATTTCAAGGCTGTATTCCCTAGATCTGACAGTTTGGGATTTGGCGAACAAATTCATGTTCATTCTATACATACTCTTTGTGGTTTTACAGATGTTATCAAAGCCTTATTTCACTTTCGTTACTTCCAGAGTTAACACTTTTCCGCCCTTGCGTAACAGCAATCTGCTTACCTCCATCTGTGCCCTCAACACCCTGAATCCTCACAGATGTTTTTCTTGCCATCCTCCAGCTCTGCAAGCCTGGCACAGTTCAGTACTTGTTCACAGACACAGCTCCTCTGACCTTCCAAACAGATATCACTTTGGATGTGTGTGGACCATTCATTTTGTGGTCTTGGAAAGTGATGTCAGGACTGAAGTGCCATCACCCAAAGACAAATAGCTGTGTCCATCCCCAAAGATACATTCAAGGCCCTTTGCTCTAAGGAGGAAACCAGGCTGTCACCAACACCTGATTTCCGTTTTCAGACTGTCTCAAAGCACTCATTAATAAAAAACTACTTTAAAATAACACTAAGAGATCAGGACTAAGTGGAGCTTTTTGTCTATCAGGCATCAAGAAACTACCTTTTCAGAGAGGTTTGAGCTTCCGGTCTGGAAGCTGTGTTCCACAGCCTTGGTTACTCTTACAGGCTGCCCTCTCAGTGTTGTGCTTTTGCATGTTCCTGTATGAAACCTACTGACTCGGTGTGCTGGGCTGGGCTGGGCTTGCCCTCAGCAGCTGACTCACTGAGGGTCTATTGTATGGTCCTTACTCTCTTGTTCACTCATTAATGTTCTTTTTGTTCCCATTTCCAGAGGGTTTTCAGGCTGATTTCTGTTGTTCCTTCAAACTTGATAAAGCTGCTCACGTGACACAATTTGGCAGGAATGACCAGCATGGCAGTAAAACAGCCAGCTCTCTACATCTGACGGCCAAGGCCCAAAGCAGAGACCGAGCCAAACCAGGTCTGGCAGAACCAATGAATCATGACCAGTTTCATCTAGTGCCTAATCATATTGTGGTCTCTGCAGAAGGAAACATTTCTAAAAAAACAGAATGTCTCGGCAGAGCACTAAAATTTGACAAAGTGGGCTTAGTTCAATACCGGAGGGCATCTGAAGAGAAGTGCAGCCGGAAAGATCCCATGAAGGCCAGCGAGTGCTCTCCCGGCCCTGAAGGGCACCAGAACACCTCGTCCAGACCCGATCATGGTACTGAGGGCAAACTCTCAAGTATCCTAGTAGATTCTCCCTTGGAGGTGACATGTAACAATTCCTTCCAGAACAAAACTATGAGGAATTCTCCAAAGAATGAAGTTTTACACACAGACATCATGAAAGGGTCAGGAGACCCCCAGCCAGACCTGCAGCTCACTAAGAGTTTAGAAACCACATTTAAGAACATCTTGGAACTCAAAAAGGCTGGGCGGCAGCCCCAGAGTGACCCTGTGGTTAGTGGCTCTGTTGAGTTAGATTTCCCCAACTTTTCTCCAATGGCTTCACAGGAAAACTGCCTGGAAAAGTTCATCCCAGACCACAGTGAAGGTGTTGTAGAAACTGACTCCATTTTAGAAGCAGCTGTAAATAGTATCCTAGAGTGTTAATAGCAGCAGTCCTTCCCCCACCCACCCCGAAACCCCACCCCAGACAAGTTACATTCTTTCCTGGCAAAAGCAAATGGAAACGGTCTCCTGTCTCCAGCCTGCTTGATCTTTCATCACAGGTTATTCTTTCTAATCTCAATCCTGTTCTTTGTTTAAGAGCAATACTTGTCATGGTTACAGGGAGATCCTTTAGTAAAATTAATCTTTGTTAGAAAGCAGTCTGATAGGCCCTACACATTTCAAGTGTTATGAAAGTGCTTTTTTTTGTATTCATTTTTTGTCATTGTTTATTTTTTTGTTTTTTTAAACACTGTAACTCAATGAGAAGACAGTACACTTGGCCCTGGGTAAAATTTTGACAATCATATGTCATTTGAAAAGAACAGACTTACTAAAGAAAATCAAACAGAACTGATAGAAGCTACTTTTTAAGGAATATCTCACTGCATCTCCAATTTTAATTTTGTTTTGTTATTTTGGGGTGTTTTTTGAGGGGCGTTGTTGGGGAGAAGACCACATGGCTCTTCCCCCCTCAGCCATCTCTGAGCAGTAAGTTGCCAGCTGCTCTGCCAGGGACCCCAAGCCCTGGTGTAAAAGCCAGTAGCACATAAGCAGGGCATTTGCAGGGCTTCCCTATTGACTGTTGAAGTGCTTTTCTGATGCTCCTGGAGCAAAACCTCGTGCTTTTCAGCGTATCTGTGTTCGATTTCATCTAGGGAATGCTCTGTTCTTAGTTCCAACAGCATGACTTGAAATAATTTCACCAGGCTACAAAAAGGAAAATGGAAACCAGTTAAGTGGCACAGTGTACAGGGGAGGCCGGGATAGAGCGATGAGGATTATAATATGTATATATGTAAAAGCATATATATGTTAACTATTGAGAAAAAACAAGAGTTTTGCATTTTATAATTGGAAATATTCAACATATGATGTATGTTTTTATTTGTTGCTGGGTTTTGTTTTGTTTAACCTCTCTTTGCACCCTCTCCTGCAACAGATAGCCAAGTGTCAAAAGCACTTTCATTTGAAAACTATGTTGTCATTATTCAGTTTAAACTTTAAGGGGACTTTGGCCTTGTTTATGCTTCTTGTTGTCTGGAAACAGTAGTCACCCCGGCAGCAATCATTACCAAAACACAGACAAACCAAAGGTAATCAGTCAGCCCACCACTGAAAGGAAAGATCTGAGACACGGGATTCCTACTTGAGAGCCAAAGGATATACCCTGTCGTAGTTTGTGTTTGGCCCGTGTTCATACATGACTTACTGCTTTATTTATTTATATTCTTTTCAGGGAGTGTTCCTCATTTTCCTTTCTTATGTACCTGCCCCAGGTGATCCCATTTCTGTTACTTTCATTCTCCGTGTCATTGTAGCCATCACTTATCTCTATCATCGGGAAAGCTCCATGATGGTATTTTATATGCACTCTTCTCCCATGCACTGCATGTGTCCGAACTATTCAGATCCATCATTGTAGCCATCACTTATCTCTATCATCGGGAAAGCTCCGTGATGGTATTTTATATGCACTCTTCTCCCATGCACTGCATGTGTCCGAACTATTCAGATCCACAGGTCATTTTGGTTACAGTGTACACACACTCACTCTGCCTCTTTTGTACGCACTCTCTCATTTATTCTGTTTATTTCCCTGGCTTTATAGGTGCACCCACTGGTCCCCTCCACTGTAATGTGTTGCCAGGATCTGCTTCTGGCCGTTCCCAGAATGAGGATGACTCTCACTGTCATCATGTTGGGCATTTCTTTTTCAGATTGGCCTGCGATGAAAAGGAAGGCTTCTGGTTATTAGAAAACACAGCAGCAGAAGACCTATACCCTCCCTGCCCTTCTGTCCCACCACCCAAAGAAATCCTGTGAGACAGCCAGTCTTCATAATAGCAACAAACCTTCACCCCAGCCAATAGAAAGGGGGAAATCTGGGCCATTTTAGGGTTACCATTTTTTCCTTATTTGTGCCAATGTCCAAGTTGCAGATTTCCCCTTTCTCCTATATTGTAACATATTAGAAAGATAAGTTGGTATTGCCAGTTGGAACTTTCTGTTTGGGCAGCCCTGGGATCATACCCTGCCATAAACTCCATGATTTCATAGGCTCTTCTTCTTTTAGAGCTCATGCTCCCCTAATTCCTAGCAAGACTGAAAGATGGTCCCCCCTGATCAAATTCTTATTGTGAAACTTTATACCTGGAAGACTTGGAAGACTTCACGTGGGCTGCTAATGAGTTACATTAATTACTGCGAATCAGTGGAATTCTTAAGAGACAAGATAAGCTTCATGTACATTTGTTACCTCTTTCTTCCCCATCCTGTCCTGGTACCCCAATCCTAGCTTTTCTATATACCATCTTAAAGGGCTTTTAAGCCCTAACACTTGTCTAGCAAATGGAGAGCCTAATTTACCAAAATGAAACTTGTAAATTTTCGTGTCTTTGTATGTAAGTTTACTTTTTATGGAGGAAGGATTCCAGATAATGACAAATGAAGATTACAAAATGTATTTTACTCCTCTGATTAGGTTATGCGCACTGGGTCATAACTCGCATGTCGAGCCCCCTCTGGTGAAGGGTAAGAGAGCTCAGCCTCAATGGCCAACGTTCAGTTGTTCAGGTTCATTAGTCAAAGTTAAGTTTTAGAACTGCTTGTACTCAGTAACAAAAATTATTTTCTTTTTTCTTTTTTCTGTTATTGTTGTGGAAAAGTGTGAATTTGTTATTAAGCATTTGATTTTCTGTGTCCTTAAGTACTGCCTAAAGATAAAGCAAATTTTAAACTGGCAATTACGAAAAGAAATATTTTAGCTCTGAAGAATTTAGTAGACTCTGTTAGATTAGGGAGGCCTTACAGACTGACTTGACTTAAAGAGGACGCGTCATTCACTGTCAGTGTGGTGTGGGCTTTATTTGCTTAAATACCTTCATTTGTATAGTATGTCTCACTTGAAATTGCTTTGTATACATTTTGTAAAAATATTTATAAAATGTTTTGTAAAAAAAAAGTATAACAAATTGCAGTTTATTTTGTTATGTTGGATAAATACTGTTAAAAGAAACCAGTCAGTAACTATATTGTTAATCCATGGTTAGGAAATGTTTAGTTGGAGAATACAAAATGAAACAACCATTGCAATACAGCCAAAGATTTGGGAAAATGTGCAACTGTGATTGTCTTGATTTTGCAAATAGAAATGGCTGGCTACTTTTCCCAGAAGAAAAAGGTAAGTGTTCAGTGGAAGTTCTATTTAAACATATTTACCATTACTAAAAAGTAGTCTAACCAGTGAGGGGATAGGATTTTAATTGATCAGCCTTTCCAAACAGCTACAATTAAAGTTGGTCAGTGAGGAAGTTTCAATCATCTTGTTTATTTGTTTCTGCAAGAACAAGGAGAAAGCTAAGGGATAGGTAAAGAAAATTATTTTACATCAGACTTATTCCAGAATTAACATGTTTGTTTTTGGATTCACATACTTGACCAAATTGTAACTTTTCTGTAAAATCAGCCCTCATGAGGCCCTTCTGAGTTCCTGCCCTCACAAGTATGACTCTACTCAAATTCTTAGGGAAACTTCCAGAGGTCATATGTATTTCTGGGGGCAAATTTTTCTTTGGGGCCTAGAATTCATACTTGAACTCCTTTATGGTTTGATTGCTTCCCTCTGCCCTAATAGCAGTAGGAAATCAAGGTCCTGTAGTAGTCAATATATAGATATGAAGTCATTCTCATGTAACTAACAAGAGTTAGAATAATTACTGCTAGAATAATTACATCAGTGGGTGGATCCCTAAATGTCATTCACAGTGTTGCCCTGATGTCAAGCTTCTCTTCTTGCTTGGGATAAATGTGTGTCCAACATGACATTCTTGCCCCTCTTTAGGCCATTTGCAATGGGAGTGCCCCAGGAATGAAGAGTTAGAAGGATCATCTGGCTGCTCTGTTAGGATCAGGGTCTCTGTTTCCTGGGGGCATGCCCAGAAGAAAGACCAGGCATTTCCATACACAGATCCTGTGTATGGGAGGACACATTCCAGGAAAGGGGCCCTAGCACTTATGCAGAGAAAGTAGCCAGTGGATTATTAGGGGGAAAGGCAAGGGAAAAGAAAGAAACTTCCACAGGTTGAGGGCACCAAAACAGTGCTCAGGCAGGGATCTAGCTGTGCTGTTCTCAAGGGGCTAGGTCCTGGGTTCAGGGTCTGTGTAAAGCTACACGACTACACCAGTTGTGGTGCTCTGGCTCTGTCGGAATCCTGCTGATTGGGCCAATTGTCAGCTCTTTTATCTGCCTCTAATCCTGCTGACTGGGCCAATTGTCCAGCGAGGGCTGGGTCTGGAGCTCACAGACCCCTCAAGCCCATTGTCCAGACTGGGTCACAAACCCTTCACACTCCAGGCTGGGTCACGAGACCCCTCACACACAGGTCTCTGAGCTAGGTAACTGGCAAACAGGTCCTTGGAAGCCATAGGTTTGAGAGCATTGCCACCGGCTGAGCTGCGGTCGCCAGAGGAAGTCGCCAGCCAAGCCGTGAAGCCGCACATGCGCACTAACTCCACCATTCTCTGTTTACAGAGAATGCGCTGAACCACCCCCAACTGGCCCTGAGTCAAGGGGAGCCTGATTAAATTATTCTACTTTCCCAACAGTCTGGCTTTGTCTCAGCCTTGGGTGTGCTCTCCAAGACTGACTTAGGACCCCTTGGGTATCCAGCTGAAGATGGAGATCATTAACCACCATTTATTGAATAGTTGACTGTGTAATAGGCACTGTGCTAGACATTGGGACATGTGGATCAGGTATGATTTCTCCTTTCAAGGAGCTCAGTCTAGAGGGGGAGCAAGCACTTAAACACATTGCATTTGGTAACTGATTGAAATTCAAGAGAGAAGAAAATGGGATACTAAAATCCTTTTTGGGGCTGGCCGGTTAGCTCACTTGGGAGAGTGTGATGCTGGTAACACCAAGATCACGGGTTCAGATCCCCATATCGGCCAGCCACAAAAACAAAGAAAAACTAAAATCCTTCTAGACTGCCACTTGGTAGAGAGCTACCATCTATATTTCTATGCCCTGGTTCTTAGTACAGTTTCCTGAGTTATGTTTGAGAAAAAAGCGTAATACTTCCAGAATGAAGATAAAGGGTTTTATGTTAAATATGTGGAGAAATCTGGTCCGTATGCAAACGATAGGAGCATATTTGTAGTATAAAGTGGATTCTATAATATGAATAGTCTGTCTACATTGCTGCAGGTAAAAGACCTTTATAGGAAACCTAATCTGTATTCCTCCTGGGCATGTGCTGGGTCTGGCCTTTTAAAACACTTGCAAAGGAAGAAGATCCTTAGTAAAAATTAAATAAATAAATAATCATTTCTGTGAAAGTCAAGGAAAATGGCGCAACTGGGTAGACAGAAAGTGACTTTGGCAGCAGAATTTGGAAATAGGTTCCAGTACATCATCTAACACATAGATTTATCTTTATGCAAGTTACTCTCAGCCTCAGTGTCCTTTCCCATAAACTAGGGCAAGACTTGTCCTGGCCCTCTACTTCTTAGGGTACAAAGTGAGGTGTTCCTGAAGAAGTGTGGAAAATTTTTTAAAAAGCTAATGTTCGATTATCCCTGAAATGATTCTGAAGTTTGGGTTTTTCTGTTTTGCTTTTGGTCTTACCTGCTATACACTGTCTACTTCCCACCCTAGCTTTCCTGTGTTGTCCTTGACCCTCAAAAGGCTATGGCCCCTCACCTGTTCCCTCCCTTTTCTTTCCCACTTTTGCTCCTTTATGCTTATTTTTCATCAGGATCAAAAGCTATTGTCCATGTTGTCTTCCCCAACTCCAGGCTAACTTGCTGCTCTCATACCAACCTCTTTCCTACCTGCTTCCTGGTAACCTCTTGTCACTCTCTTGAGGACATAACAAGGAAAACTTGAAACAAAATGAAGCAGACTGCCAGAAGGATCAAAATCCAAGACAGAAGATTGGGGCAGACGGAGCTCCCTCTAGGGTGAGTTGTGTGTAGTGGTTTTGCCTTATGGAAGGCATTGCTCAATTATCTTAAGTAAAAAAAGAGTAGAATTTGAAATAATCCAGGGCCGGCCTGTGGCTCACTCGGGAGAGTGCTGATAACACCAAGGTCACAGGTTCAGTTCCTATGTAGGGATGGCCAGTTGGCTCACTGGCTGAGCGTGGTGCTGACAACACCAAGTCAAGGGTTAAGATACCCTTACCGGTCATCTTTTAAAAAAAATTTTTTTTTTAAATAATCCAGAAGTACAGACAATACTGAAATGACTTATTCAGGGATATGTTAGGAAAAGGATCCTGGAGTCAATTCGGAAAACCACAGAATGTCAGTCCTGAAAGGAGTCTTTAAAATCACAGTCACATGGTTCTAAAACCACAAGAATCTAATTACCTAGAGACCTTTTTCTTAAACTCATACATGTGTGATAAGCAAAGGGCATACAACAAAACGGCAGTCTTCCTTCCATTCCAGAGCCCACTCTCAGTTCCCAGAAATAACCCCCATCAACACTTTATCTTTCAAAAATTGTTGCATACAAATATATCTATAACCAAAAAGCAAAAACAAAAAACAACCTAGGACCATTCTCTTACACCCTATTCTGTATCTTGCTTTTTTCAAATATAACCAAATGTCTGGAAGTATTATAGTCAGGATTATTTGGTTGTAAGCAACAGAGATTCTGGTTAAGCAGCATAAAGGGATGTTTACAGGGAGATAAGGATTAAAGGGAAGGTCGAAGAACCAACAGGCTTGAGAAAGACAAGAACAGGGAAACTCCAGGAGGTCTTATTAGGCAGAAATCCTTGAAAGTCTTGCCTCAGATTTACTTTCTTCTATCATCACTCTGCTCAAGATTCAAAGTCCTGTTAAGTTGAGGGTATCATACCCCTGAGAAGAGTTAAAAGGATTTTTCAAAGACCCCTTCAGTGTAAGTATTGGGAGGGCAAGCATTTGGATTTGATATCCCCTCCCCCCTCCCCCCAAGATTATACATGATGAGGAAAAGATCAGTTCACAAGAGGAATGGGATACTGTTAGAAAATGGGAATGAATGTCGACAGGCTAAAAAATGAAAACCATTCACCACTGAGATTTCAGGACTTGAAGATCTACGTCACTGCATACAATTGCATAGTCTTCCATAATTTATTTAACCATTCCCTGGGCTGGCCCGTGGCTCACTCGGGAGAGTGCAGTGCTGATAATACCAAGGCCATGGGTTCGGATCCCATATAGGGATGGCTGGTTAGCTCACTGGGTGACCGTGGTGCTGACAACACCAAGTTAAGGGTTAAGATCCTCTTACCGGTCATCTTTTTAAAAAAAAAATTTTTTTTTTAATTTAACCATTCCCTAACGATGGACACCTGAAGCAGCTAAGAAGAACAGAACCATATGAGGACAGGCTAAAAAAGAGTAAAATTCTTGAGGCTGTAAATGGCCATGCCTCATTCTCATGCAGTAACCCCACTTTAGAAAGAAAAAAATTATTGAAAAAAAAAAATCTTGGATCTTGTCCCGTGCTAGGGCACATGCTCAGTGCTCAGTAAACACATTTTCAGTTAGTAAACAATCGTTTGGTTGAAAAGGAGGACTCAATCTCTTTTTCTCTGGGTCAGTCTGGTGGAGCAGTGGCTTTGGCACTGAGAATAAGTACTCTCCTAGCACCATCTGCTGGCTTTGGATAACTACTTCCTGAATCCTGGTCTCTAAAGTCCTATTCAGTCAAGAGTATTGTTAATAAACCTGAAATTCCTGTTCCCCTTAATACTGTCAGTACCACAGAACCTTTTATCTGTAGACAGAGGAAATCACAAAATATTGACTTATTTTTGTTCCTTATTTACTATTTAATGGATGTCTTACACTTTGGTGATCCTTCTATTTTGCCTCTTTACAAAGTAAGGTGCTGAGTGAGAAGGAGCCTCCCTCTTTCAGTGTGTGACTCTGAAGACTGTGTTGTCCTTTGACATTTATTCATCAGGTAGTGAGCTCTGTCCATGGCACTATCTTTCTGATTGGACTAGTTACATAGCACATTCCAATATGATGTCTTGAGCCAATATCAATATCAATAGTGTCAAGACTGAGAAACTGGCGCTAGACCCTTAGGATCAGTAATGAGCAAAGCAGGCATGGCCTCCCTCCTCCCAGTATCACGGGGAAGAAATAATAACAATATAGGGAATTCAGAGAAAGGAAAGAGACTACTCTAGAGCCCTGCTAGTCAAAGTGTAGCATCACCGGCATGACTTTGATGAAGTCTGTTCTAAATGCAGAATATCGGGCTGGCCGGTTAGCTCACTCAGACCTGGTGCTGGTAACACTAAGGTCCAGGGTTCCATCGCCATACGGGTCAGCCGCCTCAAAAACAACAACGAAAATGCAGAATATCAACCCCCCTACCCGGCCTCCTGAATAAAAATCTGTATTTTGACAAGATCCTCGGGTGACTCCTATTCATGCTAATGCTTGAGATGCGCTGCTGTGGATGTTCCTAGAGATGACAGGACATGAGTTGTTTTCCAGGGTTTTATGTAGACCTGGAGAGAAGGAAGCATATTCCAGGCGGTGAGAGCTACATGGGGGAAGGTTCTGAGATGGCAGGGAGGCAGTTGTAGTTTCTGGTCCAGCAGTAATGATGACTGACATAGTGCTGACTGCTTACTGTCAGACACTGTGCTAAGGGCTTTAAATAGGGGATCTTATATAATCCTTCTAACGCTATTAGGTGGCTCCATTACTATACCCATTTTATAAGAAGGAAACCGAGGTATAGAGGGTTGAATAACTTGCTCGAGGACCTACTGACGGTTGCCGAGCAGAGGGAATCGGAGCTACCTTCTCTAAGTCATCCACAAACACCGCCACCCACCCGTGAGTCAAAGCCAGAGCCCCTCTCTCCCTCCCCCGGGAGGTCGCGCGGCATTGCGCGCGCCGGAAGTGCAGCGCGACGCTACAGCGGAAGCCGTGCCTCGCCGGAAGCGTTCCATTGTTTCCAGCCACGCCACCGGTGTTGAGAATATATCTTAAGTGAAGCGGGCTGGGTTTTGAAAGCGACACGGGCTCTAAAAATCTTGGGAAGGGTGCGAAGAAAGCTTTGTGCAACTTTTGGCAGGAATCAGGAGTAGCAAGACCTCTTTTCCGGGGTTCACTGCTGCTAAGTGGGCGCCGACTGTCCGGGTCATCCAGCGTGAGGTAGAATACACGTCTCTATGGTCAAGTAAACGTAGAGCGGTGCCTGCCTTCCCCACGTGGTGGGGGTGCGCACGATCAGTAGCGGCAGCACTAGGAAGATGGCCGAGCCCGAGTGAGTATTTGGGGCTTCGAGTCTCTGAAGTGGGGTCGCCAGTATCCAGTGCCGCCCACGGTGTTTATGCCTCGGTAGCGGAAAATAAGGATACTTGCGGACTGTAAGATAAGAAAAGGCTCCAGATCACACAGGGTGGGGGTGAGGACTGAGGAGCCGTAGGGCTAGCGCGGGCGGAGGAGCGGTTTCGAGTAGTCTCGAAGGGGCGAGGATTGACTTCCAGACAGCAGGCTGGAGAATGCCAGAGTTGAGTTCCCCCAGCCTGGCCTCAGTATTCACCCTGCAGGTGGATCTGCACCTACCCCAACCCCACGAGGTTTTCCTAGAATCTCGTCGCTGTCAGCGCCTGACAGCAGGCTGGAGAATGCCAGAGTTGAGTTCCCCCAGCCTGGCCTCAGTATTCACCCTGCAGATGGATCTGCACCTACCCCAACCCCACGAGGTTTTCCTAGAATCTCGTCGCTGTCAGCGCCTGTGAAAGGCTGTGGCAGTAAAAGCTCCATTGATGTATACAACCTAGTCGACAAGGGGTTCTTGACTTTTGGGGGATTTGGGGACGAGTGAATGTGGGGGTCCATTTGGGGGACTGAAGTTAGAAACCGCAGAATATTGAACTGGTTTGGAAATCCATTGAATGTTCATTTCCTAAAAATTATCGCTGATCACAGTTTTCTGTATCAGGCAAAGAAAAAAGATCCCTTTGGTTCCAGAAAATCTCCTGAAAAAGAGGAAAGCTTATCAAGCCCTCAAGGCCACCCAGGCAAAGCAGGCACTTTTGGCAAAGAAGGAGGTAATGGTGGGGAACCAGGGGGAAGGAATTTGTACTTGGTGAGTTTTTTTTTTTTTTTTTTTTTTTTTTTTTT